TGAGCCAGTCTGCCATCAGCAATACTAACCCACGAGCACTTGATGAGGAGCGATCGTAGATAGAGAAGAGGCGTGCCAAGGTATTAAGTAAGGGCTTAGATTTAGACGATAAGCTATATAAAGATGTGGGCTAAAGAAGACATATGGGCTAGGGAGACCAAGACTGAGCATAGGAAGTGTAAAGCTAGACTAGCGTTCGTAGCCCTTTCGGCTTGGCCGCCGGGCGTAAATAAATTGTGTGTGTAACAAGAACATCATGGGCACAGCATAGTCTCGGTACCATTCACTTGGGAGTTAGACTATCTCGCCATAGCCCTACAACCCACTGCAGATCATCCAGCCGCGCTGGCTTGACTAGATATTGATCCACGCCCGATGCATAAGCAGCGTTCCGGTCCTTGTCGCTCGACAGTCCCGTAAGCGCACATATGTAAACCCGAGACCTCCTTTCCCACTTGGTCTCAATCTCACGTATCTGCCTCGCAACATCGAATCCCGAAACCTCGGGCATAGATAAATCGAGAAAGATGAGGTCAAAATGCTGTGCAGTGTTGTCCTCGTCAAAGAATGCGGTCTTGAATGCGTCAATCGCTTTCTGGCCCCCATCAACAGACTTTGCCGCCGTCTTGCTGCACTTTCGCGCGTACATTCCCAGTACTTTAAGATTTACCGGGTTGTCGTCCACCAGTAGCAGCTTTGGCTCTCTCAAATTGGGTTTTGAGGACAAGGAAGGGGTTGGCACTACCAACTCCTTTGTCTGCGCATTCCCATCCACATGGTTGATGGCTAACTTTGCAGCTGTATCAGCCGTTTGTCTATCCAGTGGTTCTGTGGAGCCTGTTCTAGATGTTGCTCCCAACGGTACTTCATCAGTAGTATCATTCCCCTGATACGGTGCTTCCCTTATCGTATACATCCCCTGGAACGATCCGTCTCCAGGCGTTATGTTGTTGTTCTCCTCTCTCTGTCGACCCCTAACCAAGGTTGTTTTAATTGAATCTCCCATCGAGCCACGCAATGGCTCAACGTCATCGTGGGGGTCTGAAACCGTAATCAAGTCCGGAAACAAACCTGCCAACGCATCCTGGAGGTTGGACAGCGTGACCGGGCCAATGATAGAAGTGGTACCATCCAGAGGTGATATACCTGGGGTGGGGGAGGCCTGAAGGTCCGGACAAAGCACAATGCATCGGGCGTGATCAAATGCATCCCCATACGTTCGCCTTGCGTCGGCCAAGTCCTCTTCTAAGACAATCAGCAGCCGCAAGTCCGTGCTGGAGGACTCCCATGGTGTGATTGTCACCTGGAACCATCGACTCAGACTTCGGGTAAGTGACGCCAAAAGCATTTCGGTACACCGAGAGCCCCTCATTCCGCCTTCTGATGTCCACCGGCTTGGCGCGAACACGCTCAGTTGGAGCTCAGGTAGGCTGCTGCCTCCAAGTTCCAGCACGTGACTTGGATCAAAGACCACCCGCTGTGAAGGGAATTTGACCGTAAATGTAGAGCCACGTGTTTCCTTGGAATCGACATCAAGTTGACCGCCCAGCGCAGTGACTGTGCGCTTGACTATGGAAAGTCCGAGTCCCGTTCCTTCAACTAGAGGATCCTCCTGCGAAAACGCATCGAAGATGGAATGGCGAAGAAAGTCCGGGTTAATCCCTTTACCTGCATCGGTGAAGCAAAGCGTGCATGACGTCTCGTCGACGTCCAGAGACACGCGGACGCATCCTGTAGGACAGTTGAATTTTATGGCATTGTTCTTTACGCCTGTCAGCTTACATACAGTGGGGATGCGTAAGGCACCTTTCTTACTAGCAAGTGTGTGAAGACTGCCCGGAAGCTGGCAACAGCCGTAAGGACGCAGGAAGAAGCAACATTCGTATCGAACAATATGACAGGGTGATGATTCGTTCCATCTGAGCGTACTGATGGTGAGGGTGATGACGCCCGACTGTAGAAGCGCTGACTGGGGCTAGAAAACTGAGACTGCATGGCATCTTTGAGGCGAAGCCTTCTCGTCTCTTGTTGAAATGATTCTTCACATACATTGATCATCTTCGATGTGTGCTTCCTGGTGGGCATAGCCGCCGTCTGAGTATATCTGGGGCTAGATTGCTGCGGACTCCACATACTCGATCCATTCGAGCGTGTCTCATCTAGAACCCGCGCTGTAGAGCTGATCTTGCTGAAATGTAACACATGCTCAATCGTGTTGAGCAGTGAAATGCCGCTGTATCGTGCGGTTTCGAGGAGATCCCGTTGATCAGCGTTATAAGGCGTGTCAGAGAGGAGCTCCAGTGCCGAAAGAATTCCATGCAGAGGCGTCCGCATTTCGTGGGACATGGAACCAAGAAAATCAGATTTGATTCTATCCATGGCCTGCACTTCGAGACGGCGTACCTGTGTCATGAGTGTTGTGCAGAGCGCAGAGATGGACCAAAGATCTGTTGATCCTAGGTAGACTCTGGACTGGTCGTTGGCAAAGCCCAGAACAGCCCCTATATTGCGCTCGCGATGTGTGTCCCACAAGGGCATCACAATTATCTGCTTGGCGTTGGGGAAAATTTGTGGTAGTTCAGTGGAGATGAGCTGGTCTATCACAAGCACTACTTTGCCTGCGTTTGTAGCGGCAACAATGCTGTCTGGACCTTCCAGCATCTGAATCACACAGCCTTGCGGAAACATGTCCAGCAGTCTCTCGAGCAAGGCTTGTGATGGATCTACAGGCGGCTGCTCCATGGGCCCAAGATGCTGTGCTAAGATCTTGGATCCATTCCAATCTGGGTTGTGGTTGGTGTAACTTCCAAATTGATCTACTTCGTGAATTCTAACGCCGTCGAATTCAAAAGTGTCATTGAGCAGGTTTGCTGCCAGTTGGTAGAGACGCAACGTAGCTTCAGTATACAGATTGGATACCATGGCATCATTCTGCTCAGCCTGAATATCAGAAGCTGATTCATTCAGGGCGTCCGCAGTAAGCTTTGACGACAATTCAGTATCCAACAACGAAGCAACGGTTTTGTTGAACTTCATTACTCTCTTGCCCTCCAATGCCTCAACGGCTTGTTCAAGATGTTTGATAATGTGCGAGGTTATTTCGAACATGTACGCACGATTTGCGTCAGAGAGACCTGTCTCTGACGGCGTCTCGCAAAAGATAAAGACAGTGCCAATGTTTGGGCCGCCGTATGGGTTCAAAGGGACGCCTGCATAGTACCGAAACTTGGCAATGTCACCTGTTACAAATGGCAGATCTTTAGTCCTGTCTATTTGAGCCATGTCGAGCTCCTCATACAAGGCCATGTTTCCAGGAAGGTTCTGCATTGTGATGGTGCGCTCGCACAGGCCCCCATGATGGGAAACCGATTCGCAGCCATACCATCTGGTCGAGTCTGTTCTGGCGTGATTAGCCTAGGAAGTGGGAAGAGCGTGTCTAGAGACTGTGTGGTTCGGCATGCTCACCAAGCGTGACCTTGATGTCGTTGAAGTTGGCACGGCTGGCGCCTGATACAAAATACTGGGTGTGATCATCCAACAGGCTGATCATGGCTAAGTCGGCGCCCGTTCGATGCACCAGACATCGCAGCAGGGCAGCAAGCGCGCCGTCCGGCTCATTCTCCGAGCACTCATCTGGCTTTGATGGCTTGCTTGTAAAGCTAGTGTCTGCTCCGCGCACGTATTTGGCGACGGAGGGTAAGACTTGGCAAAAGCGTCTTACTTCCCAGACTCTGGCGCGATTGGCAATAAAAGCTTGCTGTTGCTCGCTGAGCTTGGAAAATGGCATGCGGGGCGAGTTGGCGAGGACTCTCTCAGTGCAGACGTCCCGGTGCAGCAATTGTTCTGCGGACAGGCGTCTCAGTCATTTACGGGTGCCCAGAACGCGAAGTTCTTGCATCAATTGTGCTCCGCATTCCGGACGGCCCGTTATATATAGTATCTCGTCTGCAGATCGCAGCGTAGCCCCCAGTCGGCCCTTCTTTTTGTCACGTTGTCTGCCTCGGCTGGCCCATATCACTGCTTGTGTCATCTACTCCTTGAATTCCAATTCTATTCAATCTCTCGGATGGACTGTTCGAGGCTTTTGCAATGTGTTTCGATTTTGGCGCGTGCGGCTTCACAATCTAAGGCTGTGAAATCATCTGCTTGGCCCTCCTAGTGCGATTCACTGTCTGGGCAACGCTGCGGGGTGCCGAGTCGTCGATCATCCATAACTGCTCTCGCTCTGCATACTTACTTGATAAGGTGATTCGAGTCCTGTCAATTGACGCGTAGGACATGATATCATCAAATCACTCTGTTCATCTTCAGAAGGCTGAAAATTTTCGCCCTATCTGCGGTCATTTTAGGGGCAACGCGTTCTACCCCGTATTCGCAGCTCCGCTTTGCGCCATTGTTGAGGAGAACCATCGGCCTCGCGTGCGTTATCCGATAGGACCTTTAAACTTCAGCCTACTTACCCTAGTGCTATTGTCCTTGAAATCTTTGAATGCAATGTCTGAGGTGTGAGGAAAATGGACCATTTCTGTCCTCACGCAGGTCCCACTCATGGCCTGCACTATGGGCACGGGCTCCTTCATAAGCACGAGGGCATTTCCCTATTTCCCTCTCCATCTCACCCTCCTGAATAAGCGCCATTGACATATCGCGCGCATCAATGAGAATCAATGATCAGGTCCATCGGCAGTGAAGGCGATTCAATTCGCCACCTTGCCACTGGGTCTTGAGCGGCACAGCCACTTTGATTCGTCGTCAGCAGTGTATGAGAATCTCGGAACAGCATCCTATCGCTATGATTCCCCGTTCTTAACGAACACGTATTTCAAGGCTGTGTCGTAACTGATTCTCAGGGGGATGCGCTGGCTTGCTGAAATGTGGTAAAGGAGGCCGGTAACAGAGCTAGACCTGCGTACAGGTCTAGGGGTTGTCATGGATATTGAGGCGTTTTTTCGCGTGTTGACCGCTCCTTCGTCTGAGTTCACCGTACGTATTCGACCAGGATGCATTGAGGCAGTGAGCTAGATGGATGGTGTAGAGCAAAAGCTGAAGGAAGTCATGTTGTATGCTGTGAACCAAGCATCTCCAAGGGCAGATCCAGCAATCTGGTAGCGGTGCAATTGAACAGGCTTTGGGAATGGGTGCAAACTCTTGCTCGGGTCCCTGTGAGTGTGTATTTTGCATATCTTCGGAGCATATGGAATATGGAAAAGAAGGAGGAATCACTTCTACAGCATCAGCAGCGTCCTCCCGTGGACACGAGGAAGAAATTTCCACTATACTTACAAATATTATTGAATCATAGTCGGTGAGTCTATTCTCCATGAAGACTATGGCGTGAGTGTTGTCCTAGAACATCGAGCTGAATGACACCAAATGTTGTCCGTGCCCAGTCCGGTGAGCGTCGCTGGTACTCCCGTCGCTGCCCACCACATTTTAACAAAGCGTGCACAAGGCCCCATCATTGATATCCCTATTTGGTACTGGCACTAACCCAATATGTTGAAAAACTAGGCACTCTTATTTCGGCAGTTGAATGTTTAAAGATCATGTCCTATGCTGAGAACGATTGGATGAGCCCCCTACTATAGCCTCGCGTATAGTTCTCAGCTCGAGGGACTCGCACCATTCACATCATCGTTTTCGCGCATGTTCTCAGCCTCTTGAATATGTGGCTGGGATTCTTTTCTATTCCTGAGGCAAACTACAAATGCGTCTTTCCACTCGGACTCGCCGTATGACATACATATTTGCAGCTGACCACCGAGACATTCGCCATGTCAACAGCTGCATTTGGAGATGACATTGTCTCTACCTGATCGTGATGATCGAGGCAGATGGTTTGCAACAATGCGAACTATGGATTACTCGAAGCAGCGTGATATGACCTGCATTCGAGTTCTTCAACATCACCAATTGTGTAGTAAATCGATCCATTCAGCTCGTTGAGTTTTGGCCCCAAACGATTGCCTAATTGCGATTGCAGCCTGAATCGCGCCCTGATAATTACCAATGCCCCACTTCGTCATCCATCCGCCCGTGATCACACAGATGCAAAGATATAGTTATTGGCTCGGGAAATTTAAGAAAAAATCGCGTCATTGTCTGGAGGACTATCTGATTACTTTCCGCATTTTGCCAAGCATCTGCTTCACTGTTGTCAGATGTGATATAGCGAAAAGCAATTATAGGGGAAAAGCAAATGATTGGTGCTTTCTCAGATGCGAGATTGCGATTGCAGCATGTGGCGCATCGTATCTGCATAGAGTACCGTCCATGTATTCTTCACCTTTGTCGAACACTTGTTCTACGGTATCATCATTTACTCGAACATGATCGTGCAGCATCGTGATTCTGGAGGACTATATATGCTTCTCTAAACCCTGCTTGATAGTGATGTAGGGCACATAAAACAATCTAGAAAATGTGTTGTACAGCTCTTACCGATTTAGGTGGAGGGAGGGTGGGGGGATGCTCTTTGCTATTGGTAGTATGCTATGATAACTGCACTGATCGGTATATATAAAGATCATGTGATGACCTCATAGGCGTAGATGTGAGCCCATATGCTTTTTGCTGCAGTATAGAGTGGCTTATCCAAGGCGCATATTGCTTTACCAGTCATACGCTCGCTCAGTCTGGTGTCCTGAGCGTGGGTTGTTGGTGTTGATATATTGCTTGCCTTACACTGATCCAAAAGTAGGATATGTCACTTTGCAAGCCGGAGGGGAGGCCTCCCATGAGAGAGGATCCACATGTGTAAGAGTTCAGGAACGCTGACTGCATGGTTCGGCACTAGTAGAGAACTATGGTTCGGTATAGTTCACCCCACTCTTTCAGCCCCAAGTCTGATAGTACTCCTTCTACACGAAAAATCGCACACATTCTCGCCGATATATCCCGCTTCTAGCAACTAAATCGTCCGATGAAAGGGGGATGGCCCGGCGAGAGTGTACCAGTTTTCTTATGGAGGGAGCGACAGTTTAGTCTTAGAGTCTCTCAGAGTCCAAAGTTTTGGCCCCGATTCTCGGTAATTGATTTTCCGTGTCCATTCAAGTTGCCATTTCTGCAGATCCCTGTGATACGGTGTTCCCAACAAGAGGCATTATTAATTTTGTTTTTATATTGTAGGCTGACCGACTAACAAAGGACAATGAAGGGGACATGGCTGCAGTACGCACATATTTCAGCCTCGTTGTTGATATTGATATCAATTTTGCGACGTTCACCATTCAGCCTTGCCGCCCAGAAGTATTATATGGCTGAAACTGGATGTATGTTTTATGCTGCAGTCTACTGCCTCAAGATAAGCCTTCTCAACTTGGCCCTGCTGCTCTACAGGCTATTCGTCGATGCCTTGTGATGACGCTATGATCTATGCACGAGGATTCTTTGTTAGTTGGATAAAGTAAATACAGACGAATAGTAGCGGTCACACCACGGTCTAGGGCGCGGAAGCAGTCGGGGTTCCGCGGCGGCTTTGACTGGCTGGGGAACAAGAGATATCGCCCGACCCCGCTTTACTCTATGCCAACATTCGAATATGATCAAACGATACGTCTATCAGATTTCAGCTCCCACGCATCATTTCGTAAGAGGACCACGTTTCTGTGAGGATGTTGGTGTTCTTGCACTTTCGTGGCTCAAACATTTGCATACACGTGAAACCCTGTGTTGCCTGGAGGCCGCTCAGTGTGCCATACTAGCAGCATCTCGTTCCATCTAGAACAAGGAACAGTGTCTCACCACTCCGTCATACCTCAGGACTGAATACCGAGAATGGTAATCAACCAAATATCAGAAGAAGCAGGCAGCAGGTTTAATAGAAGTATTCGGTACGAATCTTTGTGGTTAACCAGTTATACAGATCCGTTGTACTCCGGATGGTGGACTAGAGAACCCCGAGAGACTCCAATAGCGAGAGAGCAGTATGACGATGCTATTATGATCCGGTGAACATGATCGTTTTTGATCATGAGGAGTGATATCAATAGCAGGTGCATGATTCGATGTAGGCTTCGTTAATCTCATCATTGAGTGTCGTACAACTTGTCAGGTGGTGTCTGGAAAGAGGGAATCCTTTGGATCAATCTACCACAGGAACTGAATGCGTTTGCTGCTGTGTTGTGGCCCCATGGTTTGACCGGCATTTTTTTCGACCTCAAATGGCCCGTCTCGTGATGGAGGACTGAAATCATTACCAAGGGTTGGGATGATGACGGTCTTTCTCCTCAACATTGTACGTATGTTTGCATGGCTGAAGATCAGCTGTATTTTGAGAGAACAAGTCTTTCCACATGTACGCACATGCTAAGCGTGAGAAACGCCACTCGGGAAATATTGCATTTGCAATATCTATGGTCGGGTGCCTGCAGTCGTGGTCTGTAGCAATACCGGATGTATGATGTGCCTTTTCATAAGTCGAAAGCGACCAGCGTGGCCGTCAAGCAAACTCTTTTCGTGTTGCATAAAGACACGTGTATAATTCCAGTCGAATAGCTAAAAAGACTGGCGTACTTCTGTTCCTATGGTGCTACCATTGATACGTAGGCAACCGCACGTCGGCTATCTCGATGGTCCGTTGAGGAGAAATGGGCGTGTTCCGATGGCTCTTTAATTGTGTAGCGTTACGCGCAGATGAAATGTGCCTGTTCCACTGGTAAATACGGAAATGCGAAGTAGCTCTGATGCTAACCAGGCGGTATCAGTCCTTGGTGCAGAGCTCGTCGCAGCGTCTTTGAGACTACCTGGCGCCTAGTACTGCGACGTGGCAGATGAGTGGGGTAGAACAGGACGGGCATCATCTCATCATCCGCTGAGCCGCACCGTCAGTAGGCGCCCACTTCTAACGCATATATCTAGGATGCGTCTCCCATGGAATTTGCCTGACAGCAAGCGCCGCAACCGGAAGGTTGGTGTGCAGGGGCTGAACGAAGGACGCATACCTGCCGCACCACTTACCCGGGTGGTTGCCTGCTTTTTTGCCTTTTTGCCTTCTGGTTGCCTGGTTGGCGGCCACAGAGCCGCTAGCGGGTATAGATCAGTAGCAACACGCTGTGCAGAGAGGAGAAACGGCCTCATGGCTCTACCATAGCTCTTCTTCACTTCATACAGTGTCATCTTTCCATCTTTCTCAACTCATTGGGCTGACCAAACGCGAAATCGCCTTTCCCGTCGTATGGAACGTTGTTCTCAGCTCGAGCGGACTCTCTGCGTCTTTCCTACTGTCTGTTTTGACACCCTAATGCCTCGTACCTGTTTATGTACGATAGAGCGCGAAATCAAGGCAGAGACTTGAATTCGAGAAGGGATACCTCACAATCAGCCTCAGAGTGCTTAGGGGCATGTAAGCCAATCGCTAGACACACGCCAACCCCGCAGACGAAAACACCAATCTGAAAATTCCACGTGAGACAGCCAGCCACAAAATGAGCGCTGACCACACCACGTATGCCCAGACGCTGAGGAATCAGAAAGGTCGGGCTGAGCTGGCAGCCTCTGGGCTTCTGTGTCCCTATCCGGATCACAGGGGCCGAGTGTTCCAGAGCTGGGGCCAGCTGTACGATCACGGCAAGGCGGAGCATTCTTCGGACTTTGACGGATTAAGCCCGCAGCAGGCACAGGCAAAATTTCACGACTTAGCAGCCGAGTTGAAGTAAGAAAGTTCAGCCCCCACGTACCATGTCAACATCTGACATTGTTAAAAGGATGGAACATTCATCCATTGCAACTGCAGGGGACCACTCCGCGCCGGACATTGCAACCCTTACCTTGGGCTCTGGAAAAGGGTCTGTTCCTAATTCATCTCCGTCTGGACGCAAAAGGCCAGCAGAGCATGAAGCCTTTGGTCATAGGGGAAAAACCCCCTCCGGCCTCGACGTCAATGACTCGGATTATTCAAGAAAAAATCCCTATGGTGTTACTTCGGATAAAGTAAGATCAGAGTCACCTGACCCGCGATTATTTAATCCTAAACAAAATGCCAAAGGCACCTCGTCGCCTCGTCGGTCCACGCCTGAGCCGTCCAGCACGTGGTCAGCCAGCGCGTGGTCAGCCGAAGCGACAAAGGGCACTAAGCTCCAGTCTCCTCAACCTAGATCCCCAGTTCGTGCACAACAGCGGAGCACGCAAAACCCCCAAAATGCTTCCCGTCAACCCACTCTTACTAGTCATCCGCAGTATGATGAGCGGTACCCTGACCTCTTGTTACAGCCGGATTCCCGTCCGATATCACAAGAGCAACTTGCATCTGAGGTTAAGTCCATTTACGCTGGACTCGCTATGGTTGAAAATAAGTGTATACACGTTGATCGTGCCCAAGCTGCGGCTGTACAGGACCCTAACACAAAGCTACCCCCTGATCACTGGCAGGCATTGATAGCTTTACATCGCACCCTCCTACATGAGCATCACGATTTCTTTCTAGCTAGTCAACATCCTTCCGCTTCTCCGGCGCTTCGTCGCCTTGCAGCTAAGTATTCCATGCCCGCGCGTATGTGGAAGCATGGCATTCATTCCTTTTTGGAGTTACTTCGGCGTCGTCTTCCCGACAGCATGGATTATATGCTGGCTTTCATATATTTGGCGTATCAGATGATGGCGTTACTTTACGAGACAGTCCCTGCATTTGAAGATACTTGGATCGAATGTTTAGGCGATCTGGGGAGATACCGTATGGCTATCGAGGATGAGGACGTCCGTGATCGCGACACTTGGGCAGGCGTAGCACGATCCTGGTATACGAAAGCAGCCGACAAAAACCCAATCGTTGGACGTTTATACCACCATTTGGCGATTCTGGCGAGACCCAACGCTCTCCAGCAGATCTACTACTATTCCCGGTCTTTGACTTGCGTCAAGCCCTTTGGAAGTGCGCGCGAGTCCATCCGGACTCTTCTGGATCCTGTTGTTGATCACAACGCCGCTAGTCTTCCGCACGCCCTTCCCATTGATATCAGCTTTATCAAACCCCATGGTTTACAGTTTTTGGGACGTTCTGTCAATGATGGCAGGCCGTCGGAAGAATTCTTAAAGGCCAAGACCGACTTTCTGGGTAGCTTGGATAACTATATTGGTCGAGTTACGGCAAAGTGGAAGGATCAAGGCGTATGGGTCGCCGTTACGAACATTGCGGGTTGGTTTGACTACGGCGTTGACGACAATGCTCTCCGCCAAGCTTACCTCATCGAGCTTCAAGAGAGAGCCAAAACCTCTCCTTCTACTGCTCCAGAAGAGAAGCCACGTACAGCATCTACAATAGAGCAGCAGGACCCGACTCAGCCTTCCGTCACCCCGAGCCAGATCCAAGGGAAGCTAGAACAGCTCGCTGCGCAACAGACGTTCAAGAATGCCCAGCTCCTTTCAAACGACACATTTGCCCTCGCCCTCCGCAGACTTGGCGACAAGAACGTGCTGTTGCACGTCAACATCATGCTCTCATATCTCACTTCTCTTTCATCCTTTTCTTCCTGCGCATACGTTCCTAACCTCATCAAGGACACACCCTGGTCCGATCTCGTCACTTTTCTCAATACGTTATTGAAAACAGAATCTCAATCTCACTCCCAGACGAACACCAGACAGTCAGAAAACATCGACACCTTGCTTTCTGCAGCCTTGTTTCCAGCAGACGATGAGAGACCGGACGAGCTGCCACTTCCCGAAGATTACCTTGCCAGAGGCTTGATCTGGGCGCACCGATATTTCCCCAAGAATTGGTTTTCCAGGGAGCGCGATGAAGAGGAAAGATATCTCGAGCCGGCGAGTACGGTTAAGAATCGTATCAATAGAGTCCTCAGGTTGGGTTATGCGATTGCAAAAGTAAGTCGGTACGTGGAGATGTGCGTTTTATGTCTAACCCCATGTACAGCATAACCGATGGATTTCCTACGATGCTTCTACTCGTTCTTTCTCAGTCGTCGGCCCTGCACCTTGATTTTTCAACGCTTGTTTCGGTCTTTTTTTACTTTGTTCGTTTGTTTTTTGCTTCGCAGAACATGATTATCGCCACTTTGCCATTCTACAACATGCCCTTTCTCTTTCTCTGCGGCAATCAAATTATCGCCGTATTCGAGACTCAGAGTCGGCGCTACAGCAACAGTAAATGGTATTTGTAAGGCTTGCATACATGCGAGAATGGGTTTTTTGGGCAGAAGAAGATACTAAATTGTGAAGAAATCTTCTTCTGGGCCTTTCTGGTTGAGGAACCAGTCGTCGTGTCGCGGATGGCGGAGTAAGTAAAGAAAAAAGAGATTTCATTGTGGGTTGGGTTGGAGGTTTTTTTTTGATTTCATTTGTTACTTTGAGTTTTGTTATACAGAGCGTGGGAGGCGACTTCTTTGCATGACTTAACATCCTAGCGCGATCGTTTTTAGACGTTCAGTAACATATTGGTATTACTATTTTAAATGTACACAGAAAATTCAACACAAGGCAACAGATTTCGGCTTCATTACGAATACAAAAAACGAGCTGAAGCATAATACAATAATTACCGCATGCTATTCTTCACATTGCATGCTTGTATGTTCATACGTAGTACGTTCTGTGAAAAACATCGTTTTCATGAGTGTACATGAAAATTGATCAATTCATTACCTCTCTTGTCCCATTCTGTATGCATTCAGTAACTTCAGATCGTATTCATCCCAAAGATTTAGATTCCCAAAACATGTCATCTAACTATGGCATTCATGGCGCCCAATTAGACCCATGTTCCGCCTAGGATGGCGTGACATCATCCTCGATCCTGCCAGCGAGATACCGAGATCCCGAAGAGCGGGTAGCCGATTCAACGAGGGACATGATACTATACATACTTAAACTCAACGTCTGGACATAGCTCATGGCCACAATCAAGTCGTACATTCACCATGAGCCATATTCTGAATCTTCTAGCTTTTGGTGCATTTGGTGTAACCTCTTCGGTAAGTTACTAAACTCTAAAAATATCTAAATAGGGAAGAATCTTACTTACCATTCCCAGATTCTGTTCAAGATACTGTATAACATCTTCCTACACCCACTCCGACACTACCCCGGACCAAAATGGTGGGCTGCCACTCGCCTCGCCTGGTCCCATTCCATGCAATCAGGGACGTACCACCTCAAGCTCGCCCAGTTTCACCAGCAATACGGCCCAGTCGTGCGAGTCGCTCCTGATGAGCTGTCTTACATCGACCCCGAAGCCTGGAAGGACATCTACGGTAATCGCAACATCCCAAAGAACCGTGTGTGGGCTGGTCAAGAAGAAGAACATCGTCCTATTAGCATTGTCAGTACGGATGAAGCAACGCATTTGCGAAATCGCAGAGCACTTACTAGGGCGTTTACCGAGCATGCGATCACCGAACATGCACCTTTACTTGAAGGTCTTGTTGAAACCATGATACAGAAGCTCAGCGAAGCAACTAAGCAGGGCGGCGGATCCGCAATTGTAAACTTCACAGATTGGTTCAACTGGCTGACTTTCGATATCTCGGGCATCCTCTCTTTCGGCGAATCCTTTGGCAGCGTAGCAGCCGGGCGTGCACACCCCTGGGTCGAAATCAGTTGCAGTTTCGGCAAAGGCATCGCGCTCATGGCTTCAATCAACTTCTTTCGCCCTCTGAATAAACTGCTGAAACTCGCTATGCCAAGGGGGATCATGGAGAAGATGAAATACCATAAGGAACTGGCTCATGCGAAGTTCATGCAGCGTCTCGCGATGGAGCATAAGGAAAAGACCCAGGACTACGTAGGCTCGATCCTGGCGTACAATCAAGACAAGGGGGAGACAAAGATTCCAGATGAAGAGATTGAAACGAACATGACTGTGTTAATTTTTGCGGGGAGTGAGACTACGAGCACTTCGCTTACAGCGATACTTACGCAACTTCTGCAAAACTCAGCTGCTTTGACGAAAGTCGTATCAGAGATCCGCGAGAATTTCAGGAGCGAACAAGACATCAGCATTACCAGTGTGGGTAAGCTGGATTATCTCGATGCCGTGATCCAAGAGGGCATCCGAATGGGTCCCCCAGTAGCAGTGGGTCTACCTCGCATCACTCCGACAGAAGGTGAGATTATCTGTGGTCAATACATACCAGGCAATGTAAGTTCCCTCCAAAAAAAAACACCATATAACATTCCACCACTAACACAGCATAGACTTTCGTCTCCGTAAACCAATACCCGACCTTCCGCTCCACCATAAACTTTACCGATCCCGATCTGTTCGTCCCAGAACGCTTTCTAACTAACTCACCGTATCCTTCTGATCGCATCGATGCGTTTGTGCCGTTCCTACTCGGACGCCACAAGTGCATGGGGCAAAAGCTCGCGTGGGCAATCATGCGCTTGACGTTGGCACGGCTGTTTTTCAGGTTTGATTTAGAGGCAGCTGAGCAGGTTGGTGATTTTGGGTTGCAGAATAATTTTATGTTTTGGGAGAAGAGAGCGCTTAACGTGGAAATTCAACCCAGAGAAAGGGCTGGGGTAGTTGAGTGATGGAAAGGGCTGGTTGAGGTGTTTATGCTGTGCGACATGGATGTTGTTGTTGTTTTTTTCGATGGGAAATCAGAGTCTTGCGAGAAGGCGTACGAACTCGAGTAAAGAAGCAGTGCATTGTATGTTGTGGGGTGAATAAGATATCGTTCTCCAAAAGCCCGAAGGTGAGGCCCGTGATTGAAAAGTTGATCAGCTATTTAAATTGGTCGCCACGGTAGGATCGATTGAAGAAGGAAAGACCATCTGCGCCGAGTAGAAATCCCCATTTTTGACCTGTAACTTCCTCACGCACTACTACTACTACTACACCACAATACCAACACCCCCAAGTTTTACATCAGAGAAAGGTAACTTCCGAACTGTCGATCCTGAGTCATGGTGTAATATTCTCATAGCCGATATCCCATTTTCCGGCACAGATTCGATCACTCACCGCTTTAACGGCAGCAGTAAGGCTGATTCAAGACATCAGCATCCCTTTCAAACCATAACCTACTTTGTAATCTGTACTTACATTGCAGGATTGTCCATCCGGGGGTTCACAGCCAGTCGAACACTTGCAGGGATCGAAACTACCCACAGGAAGTTTGCAACAGTCAGGATAATTTACTCTGTTGATGAGAGCGCCTTCTTCGTATCTGACCAAGGATCCGTCTCCGTGTTGGATCAGGATTGCGGTAGAGGTAGCGCAGAGTGCGGAAAGGATGGCGAGGAGCTTCATGATAGGTGGATGGGTAAAGCGTTTGTTGAGGGAAGAAGGTGTTTTTGAATGTGATTCAGGAAAAGTTCAGGGTAGCTGTCAATCTTTATCTACTGATGAAGCGTTGGCCGCTGGAGGAAACATTTCCGCATGCTATGAGGAAGCGTTTCGTGCGATGCCGCCTCTGGTATGAGCGCAGTGCATGTATCGTCCCAGCGGAGCGCAAATAGGCGGCAAGACACTGTAGCTATGCATTTGCTTAGTGGATTCGACAGTGGTCGTGTTACCAAATCCCTGTATCCGCTGATTTGTCTGACTAATCCTCCGATCAAAGTTTTGAGTTAATGAAATATAACCTTTGTAGTCACTTTGCACCTGTAACATCATTGCTGGGTTTACCCTTGAGTCTGTTGCACGGACATGAGTTACTGGGCCCCATGATTTCCAAAGACGAGTTAGTGTTCAAACAAATCTCTACACCCAGTCTACTAAGAGTAAATATTTCTTCATACTTTACCACATTAATATTGTGGTGAAAATCATAGTTGTACTCTTCAAAATCTAGTGAATCAAGGGAAATGGCACGGAAGTTATATTGCTGCATAAACGTAAGCACTAGAGGTATTGTCAAACAACGCAAATCAACGAAGTCGAATGACACTTACCTATTGCATTACACCGACGAAGTCGATTGATTTGGAACAGAATGGAAATGAACAGCAAGTAAGCAGGTTACCTGATTGGATCTATCATCGGCGAGAAAAGAAGACACGCCCATCCTTCCATTTGTCTGCCTCGTACAAGTCTTGACGAATTTCGTTGCACACCACTACAAAGATTCGGCTCTTGAACAGTGATCGAAAAATGAGCCCAAGTAATGAAAAACGCAGCCCTGGTGTTCCCCAGAAAACTCCCATTGATCCACAGCCAGTAGTATCGGAAGGAAAGGCGAGAATAATTGGACGTATAAACATACTCGATAATTGGATGGACTAGATGGTAGACTGCCGATTCAAAACTTACTACGGGGCAATGCCGGAATTAAGAAAAGCAGCTGAAGCATACGTGTGGTCAAAACACACAATGATGGATCTGGTGGAGCTGCTGAGCTGCTGGGCTAAGTATAGGATGTCCGCCAAAGCTAAGGAGACGCTGACATCGCCGGATGGAGAAACGGACAAGCTTAGACCGCGGAATCAAACGCCGTGTATCTCGATAGATGTAGAATATTCTGCCGATAATGCTTTCGCATCAAATTTTGCCGTTGAGTCTATCGCTAGCAATGAATGTTTAGTGAGATTGTTGTACAAATGTCACAATAGATTCGATACTATACCCTCACCACCACAACATGTATCATGCGAAAATGGCTGTTTTGTTCTGCGATGACAAATCCAGTAGCTAGTCGTGTGGTTTGCTTGCATGAACGTTAACGTTGTCTCAACCCACCCTAAAGACAGACCAATATCATCCATTTGATTAGAAAGTCAGCCCTAGCACACTGCGCTTGTCTTTGCTCTTCGTATCGCTGCCACAGGAACGACGCCAGGTTTAGATCTGATCATTATAGGAATATGTGACCGCCATGTCAGCCATGCACGACATGTCAAGTCTTTCGGCAACTTTGGAACTGAGACTGGTGTACTGAACAGCTGACGCGATGTCTTGGGTAGTGTGTGGGATTCGATGAGTGCGCTGGTGGCATCGTTAACACTGCGATCCGTAGTAATGTTGCCAGACTCGGACTCTACGTAGAGGTTCCGGCGGAGGAACGTAGGTCCGACAACGGTGACTTGGGTGAACTTGTCGCTGTCAGACAAGAAATGAGCAGCTCAGGTATGCGTAATGTGGACGGTAGGCGAAGGGCGCAATAAAAAAGGGTGAAAGAGTAGACGATTGCGACGAGAGACACCTACTTGGTAGTAGTGGGGTGAGCGACAATGAATCTGTGGGGTAGTTTATATATGGCTCTGTAGCGGTTCTTGTGCGGTCCTTGTGCGCCAACAGGCTACCAGGCAACCAAAAGGCAAAAAGCAGGCAACGGTCTTTTCGGGCGGCCAAGCTGTAGATTTAGGCGACATCCCAGCGCCCGCATCCCGCGCTACCTATATTTGGAAGTGGTTTCAGTTCCCCGAGACAATCAACGTCGTCTGGGACGCCATGCTGCTGTCCATATGATTGGCTATATACAAGGTTGAGCACATGCATTGACCACATTGTACTTTAGCCACGCGACAGTCGGTTTGTTTGACGATGCAAGTTGTCCAAGCGTCTGTACATTGACGTACAGCCGCAGTGGGTCTCGAGACATTCAACTACACATGTGCCTGCACGGAGGTAGCCCAAGACCCCTATCGAAGCGACGAGAGGAAGATCTGGTTGGCGGCTGGTCCTCTTGTTGGCTGGTAGCTAGCCCTCCTATTGGCCTTTTTTTTTTTACCACGGAGGCATGATAAGCATCTATACGTTGTAGTCTCCGTCGGTCAAAAATAATCGCTCTTGTGCGCTATAAGTACATGTCCATTTTCCTGTTCAAACTTGCATCTCCATATAGATTTTACACCTGATATTCTTACCACCTGCTCTACCGTCCCTGGAAATCCTCAAATCACATCCTTGACTCCAACAAAGATGGCGGCACACACTGTTCACGAAGAAATCACCTACCCGTGAGTCTATTCTTCTTTCCTAATCGCACCATCATCTCCCCATCATACACTGAACTCACCCTTGAATCACTTGGAACGTTTCTATAAATGTGCTGTAACTACTTTTTTCAATGTGTTGCTGTTCATACATACGGTAGTACTACACTGCACACGGACGATGATGGAGGCGCTGTAGTGGCTGTGACACAGCCAATCACATATCAGCCCATGGATCCGCCGGCCCACCTTACCGCCCCTCCGCCAAAGCCCCACCAGACTACCTTTGATCAGCTTACCATCGACAACTTATCAAAACACGACAAGGGTTTCGACTCTCTCCTCGATGCCGCCCAAAAGGCTACCAGGGCACTGGGATTACAGCGAGCAGGGAAAGAGCAGGGCTTCCATCTCGAGCTTCAACACTACACCAACGATCGGTTTGACCTCTATGGCTGGACCAGACAACAAGCGCGATGATTCTTGACTTCATTTCTCCTGTGCAGTTCGCTGCTCTTATTGTACTTAGATACCAAATGCATTACATATACATCATCCTTATAGGGTCTTACGCAGATTAATAGCTGATCACAGAACTCTACACACTGATGACGCACAGGGATGCTCGGTGCGCTCTACAGTACTGGACTGCGGAACAAATTATTGAAGCATTCAGGCCTCCCCAACACACAACGGAATCTGTGATTAACTGGTTACATGCTTCAGGGAATTTATAGCAACAATATAACACATCCCGACATCAAAAAAGTAGCTAGTTTTCCCCTTCTGACGAGCCCAAAATTGCGACAGTTCATCTACAACGACCCAACGGCAAGCAGGTGCTTGACAACCACAGAGTCCATCAAAACGGGAAATAGACCCATTGAGAGTCTCCAAAGCCCGGGAAAACACGTCCAACTGCACACATGAAATCTCGGTCCAACACTTGACCCGACTGTTGAACATACCATTTCTGGGCGCGCCACAATCGCCAGGTGGTGGTATAAACGTGTCTATGATGCTCATGGGTATGATGCTCGCGCGTATTGTGGATGAGCGGAGGAAGATTAGGAAGGGAACTGTTGGTGTTCCTCACCATGTGCTGTATAGCAATCTTCAGGTTTTTAGAGATGTTGTTAGTGGGAGTAATCTTGGTTGTGGGACGCAAGGGTTTCCGGTGGCACCGGGGTGAGATCTCCTAACAGGGCTGGGGGGTTCCGGATTATCAGAGGTTGTTTGAGCTTTATTTCTCGTTGCTATAGGGGGCCATAAGGGACGCGAAGTCGACAGGTACGTTTCCATGACCGGATTTTGCCTTGTGTCAATCATACAGTGTAAATTGGTAGGAGTGGGAGAAACGAATCATGATGATGGGCAACACGGGAACTTGTATAGAATCTTCCTTTGAATGTACATGAATCTATATTAAGCTATTAATGAATCCTTTCCTTGATGGCACCGACAACGCTCTTCAAGCCGCTCAGCCTCGCCTCCTTGGTCTCACCCAGGTAAAGACTGGCAACCGGCCATGCGTGTATCCCGCCCTTTTCTTCCCAAGTATCCACCTCCTTCCCCGTCTTCTCCAGCAATGCAATCAGATTCCTTGTTTCTGGCCCGAGCACCTCCTCGCTGCCGTACAAAAAGTACCAACCCTTTTCTGGCGAAGCTTCCGTCCACTTCTGGATGTCTTTACAATTTCCAGGCGAAACCATGGCATCGTCGGGCGAGACTTTGCTTCCAATGTACTGTCGGCCATATTGTTCCAGTGAGGAGCTGTTGAGATAGTCTGACGCGGTATTCCTATTCTCGGGCGATACAATGCTGACCCATGGGCTGATCATAATCGCAAGACCGGGCTTTTGGTGTCGAAGCTCGGTATGCTCGGACAGATAAAGCAGGAAGCTTAGCATCAACGTTGCGCCAGCCGAGTCTCCACCAACGACAATGCGAGTCGAGGACTGGGCCAAAGAAAGCACATATTCATATCCGGCTAAGGTTTCATGGAGTTGAGTAGGATATGTGGCGTCTGGCACAAGGGTGTATTCCAGGGCAAAGAGGGCAGGATTCCGGTATCCAGCGGCTTTGAGTAGTGCAACCCAGGCAAGCAAAAATTCCATGTAGAAGTAACTGCTTCCCATGGAGAAGCCACCACCATGACAGTAGTAAACAATCAAGTCGGGCTGCTCTTGCTGGTTATGCACGATCCATACGCCCTTGAAGTTTGGTCGCGTGATGTCGGTCCACCTGATGGGACTGGTGACAACGCCGTGGCGCAACATGCGGAATCTCAGGAAAGGCAGTGAGACTTGCTTCGAGAAAAAGACTCTACCGAGGAAGGCTGGCATATTGGCAAAGGCATAGCGAACAAAGCGGATGACCAGGTCTTGGAATGGTGTTGCTTTCCTGACCCATGGTGCACGTTGTTCAAGAGGGACGAGAAATCTCTCATGGATGAATTGAATCGGTATGACAAGAACTTTGAAAGCTATGAGAATCAGTACATTGGAGAACAGCGATGATGTGTACTCACTAAGAAAAGGTAGCTGGGGGAGAAGCCATGTCAAAAGGGGGATGATGCCGATTTGAATCAGCAATTGAGGGGCAAGAAAGACTAGGAAAGCGATGCAGTCCAGGTAGGAGATCTGTCCCAGGATCATCTTGGCAAGAAATACATAAAAATGAAGTCAGTGAGCTTTCTTTGTCTGTCTGCGCCATGTCGAGTGACAATGGTGATGACGCCGTCAAGGGTCTAGCTAAGCCACAACCGATTAGCGCCACAGCCGTTAAAACTCAATGCCCGTTCGCTGACCAGGACACGCGTCATTGTTGTATAGAAGGCCCTTCCAGGTCAGCTAGAATGCGAGCTGAAGGGCAAGACAGAGGGTGAAAGCGGAATACCGTGCACGCGCTCTTCCGTATGCGGAAGACGGTGAGCACGTGACGACGGTTAGAGTTTGTGGGCACGGACCAGGCGGTTGATCGCGACGCCCGGAAAACTTGCGCGCGGCACGCAGTTGTCACTCGGCAAACACCAACGACTGCGACTGCGACTGCGACTGCAATCCCCCTCGTCTGCTTGCCTGTGCCTGCACCGAGGAATCATCTTGCTTCATCTTTCTTCTCCCCTCTTTACCCTCTTATCTTTTTAATGGAATAAAGCCCCGCGCCCGACGGCAGTCTCAGTTGTTTGCGCGGCAGCCTAAGCCAAAGTCGCGAACTTGCACAACCTCACCATGGCAAACTCGGCAGCAGACCCCAAGGCGGCGCCGCTCGCCGATGAGCTGAAGGACCTCGCTCTGTAAGCGCTTCTCTGCTGCTTTCTTCTTCACTGTTACTAACATGCATAGCTCACTCCCCACGTCTGCCTTTCCCAAGAACTTCTTCTGCGCTCTATGCAATCAGCTAGCTTTCGACTCATACAAGCTGATTTGCTGCGCAAAATCAGTCTGCTCATCATGTACGAACAATTCACCGCCAAGCTGTAGCAGAATCGCCGCCCACTAACATTTTCTAGGCCAGGCAAATCTCCAGTTTCCTACCACGTGTCCGTCGTGTGACCATTCGCCGCTCGAGGCAGATTCGTGTGCGATCAATAAGTCTCTCCGCAACACCATGCGCGTATGGCTGCAAAAACAGAAGAAGAAGGAAGAGGCCAAGGCTGCGGCACAGACAGCTACCCCTCCTGTTGAGGCGACACCAGCCGCACCCGAAGTGCAGCCAGTGAGCGAGAGCATAGAGAAGCCTGTAGACAGCATTGAGGAACCACTCAAGGCAGAGGATGGTGTCGCTGAAGAAGCCGCTGGCTCTGTGGGGAATGCGGAAGAGACTGTTCAGCGCGCCGGCTCGGCCTCTGCTCAACCGAACGAAGTAGGTAACCAATGTCTATCTTGTTCTTCGCGTGTTAGCATGGTGGGATCGTACAGTAAAGAAAGAGGAAAAGAAGAGAACAAGGCGAAGAGCATCCATTTCTTGAAGAATGCAAAACCCGTTGCTGCACATGCAAATGAACATCAAGTGTCTTTAACTCGATCTGTCGCGTTTACTAACCAATATCAGGTCAATTCTCCCACTGAGGCTACAACATCGCAAAATGTATCGAAAGGCACGGAGCCTGCAGCAGCGGACGACTCGACGGAAGAGCCAGGCAACACCCCCGGCGTCAATGGCATGACAGGCACCAATCCCATGATGAACAATATGCAAAGTCAAATGGGTTTCGGTTTTCCTGCTCAAGGTGGCTTCAACAACGGTATGGGCTGGAACGGCATGCCTAACATGATGGCCAACGGCAATTGGAATGGTATGAATCCCATGGGTACGTTGTATCACTGAAAATTCCGACAAGCGACCAACTGCTAATTTTCATCCAGACTTTAACAGCATGAACGGCATGTACGGCAACTTTGGGGGAAACATGGGCATGAACGACATGTCTGCCATGAACATGATGCAGTATGGAGGCGGCTTTGGTAATGGTTGGAATGGGATGGGCGGTGGCTATGGAAACTTCAGCGGGCCCAATCAGATGGGTGGCTATAATCAATCTGGAGCATATCCCGAGATGATGAACCAGTTCCCCAAGAATAATTTCCCAAACCAGAACCAGAATCGTTTCCATGCCAATCAAGGGGGAGCACATGCCCAACGAAACAACAGGAATGGCAGCCAGGGAGGCTTTGGCCCTGGTTTCCAGGGCGCGAATACCCGTCCGACAAGCCACGGCGGTCCTTCGGAAAACGTACGTTCTTTTCACCAGAATTCTCGGCCCAACTCGAATAATCGGGTTGGCAAATCTTGGAACACTCCAACTGACACGAATCTTCCTACGCAGCGTGACGGCCAGTCGCCTGATGGAAACGCCAACACTGCTACTGAGGCCAAGGCCGAAGGCGAGCAGGACAAGGTCTCCACAGAGCCAACTGAAGAAGGTAAGGAAAATAGCGAATCTGTTGCAGTTTCTGTTGAGGCGACGAATCATGGTGCTGGCTCCGGTCTTAATGCAAATCAGGCCGCTGCCAACAATACTGATGATACAGGAGAGAGTGCCAAAGAGCCGGCGCAGGACGATGGGCTGAAACCAATCCAAACTGTCGACACAGGTGGTGCAGATATGCAAGATTATGATCAGTCAATGATGGGTAATGGCATGGGTATGCCATACGCAGCAGGAATGATGAACCAGTTCCCGGCTCAGCATATGAACGCGCCGTTCGATCCTAGCATGAACATGAACATGAATATGAACATGGGATACAACGGCAATTTCGGTCCTCGTGGCGGCTTCAATAGTGGCGCTTACGGTGCGGCGACAGTTTTGACAGGTCAACCCACGGAGCCTATTGGTGTCGGGGTCAAAGGCGCACCCACCGGACCACGTGCGATGCGAGAAGGCCGGCCCAACACTGGATTCTCAAGTCGTGTCAACAGCGGTCGGTATGCTCAGGCACCTCCGCCGCCGCCGCCTAAAAGTGTTGCATCTATTCAAGAAGTTGCGCCGATTAGTCCACAGCGCAGGGTTCGATCGTAGGTCATCTTTCAACCAACATTGGGCTTTCATGACTAACTACCATACAGCAAATCGCCTTTGCGAGATGAAAGTATGCGCGTCAAGGAGCGGTCACCTACGCGGTCCCGGTCTCGATCTCGAGCGAGAGACGAAGACCGAGATGCGCATCGTGAGCGATCACGTTCTGCGGATCGCCATTCTAGACGTGACGGCCGTGCTCGATCACTGACGCCGTCAGAGGATGATCACGACAGCCGCAAAGAGCGCAAGCACCACCGTTCGTCGCGTTACGACGACCGTGAGCAGGAGCAGGATGATCGGTACCGTGACGAGAGGAGCAGCCGTGGCGATCGAACGCGAAGCGCTTCAGCAGACTCCAAGTATCGCAGCAGCCGTCGTGACAAGGACAAGCACCGCTCCTCACGGTCACATCGCGAGCGAAGTAGAGAACATCGACGCCGCCACCGTTCTCGATCGCCTCGCAATGAGGACAAGTATGACGATGATGATGCGTATCTCAACGGCGAAAAGGACTCTGATGGCAACTCGCGGCGTAGGCAAAGGAGTCGCGATAAAGACAGGCATCGTGACCGATCACGCGACCGATCGCGCGACAAGGAACGTGAGCGGGATCGTAAGGATCGCAAAGAGCGCGAGCGTGACTATGACTATGACCGCGAGAAAGATCGCTCACGAGACAAGGACAAGGAACGCCGCCGCCGCCGTGACCGTGACGCCGAAGAAGAAGAACGTGATTACGAGGACGACAAGTACCGCTCCTCTCGCCGCAGCCGTAAAGACCGTGACCGCGAACGTCGCGATGATGACCGTGATCGAAAAGAGAGGCCTTCGGCAACTGAGAAAGAAGAAGATGTTGTTGGCCAAATGATGAAGAAGCGTGTCGTTTCGCCTCCTCTGAACGCCCCTACTGGTCCATCAGCAAATGGCTTCAGTATCAAAGGTCGTTCGAAGAACGCCATGGCACCCCCTACACAACCACCTAGCGGCCCTCGAGCATTCCAGCCCCCGAAAGGTCCCGCTGCTGATCGCAACAAGGACCGCAGCAGCGACTCTCGAGATCACCGCCGAAGGAGCAGCGTAAGCTCTGTTTCTACACCACCGACTGGACCATCCGCAAAAGAAAAGGAAACCACACAAGACCACTACGCTGCTGAAAGGGAGCGTAATGCTCGCGAGCGTGACAGTCGTGACCGCGTCGAAAAGCCCTCAAGTAAATCTCTCCACTCCCGCATCTCCTCCACATCTTCCCGCCCTACCCTCTCCACCAAGCGTTCCCGCGACGACCTCGACGATGAACCTTCTGTCCCCAAAGGACCAAAAGCCGATGTCAAACCTCCTACCGGACCCGCTTCCCACCGCGACAAGCGACGCAAGAGCGGTGCCATCGGCGATGACAACATTGCAAACCTGTTCACCGCCGGTCTAAGGAAAAACGCCAAAGCCAGACGCGGAGGCGTAAGAACCGAAGGCGATGTAGAGCGAGAAATGATGGAGCGAGAAAGAGAAAGGCGATAGCCTCGCACTTCGATGCGTTGCCATCTGCCATATGCTAGGAAGTGAGAAAGAGAGACGGATCTGGGGATTGTATTAATCAAGTCATTGGGGGAGAGATGATCTGGGATGGCTACTCTGCTTTCTTTTTGTATTATACCCTTTTCCTGTCACTTGCTTATGGCGAGGAGAGTGAGAAACTAAAAGGATGCATGCGATGCTGTCATGAGGCGTGGGCATGCCACCTTTCTTAGAATCTGAATAATGAAAATCATCTCGAGAGGGAAACAAACTCGCAAGCCGTGCTTTGGTGGTTCGTGGTATCATTTACTAACTTATATGTGTGTGTCTATGGGATTGCATACGTATTTACCGCCTGTGGTTTACAAATTCCTTTTGCTCACCACCCAGTCTTGATGCTACGACAGTGGCTTCCCGGATGGCCTTTGCAACAGAGCCTCTGACACCGTCTTCCTCGAGCGACATCAGACCGCCGATCGTGCAGCCGCCTGGCGTCGATACCTTATCCTTGAGCACAGCTGGATGCTCACCGTTCAGCACCAAACCCGTGGTTCCCCTCATAGTCTGTGCCGCCATCATCTGTGCTTCCGCTCTCGGCAACCCCATAGCCACGGCACCATCCGCCGCCGCCTCAAGCATCAACGCAAAGAAAGCAGGTCCAGACCCACATAGCGCAGTTGCAACATCCATGTTTGCAGGTGGCAGCGTAGTAACGCGACCAATGGAGCTAAATACGAATTCCACAAGCTTAGCCTGTGCATCGCTAAGCGGCGGATCAGAAGTCTGAATCACAGACATGGATTCGCCGACGAAGGATGCCGTGTTGGGCATTACGCGGACGACTCTGCATGCGTTTTCCGCTTTTTCAGGGCCATCCGGGTAGAGGAAGGCTTCGATTTGTTCGCGGGTGACGCCTGCCAATATGCTGACCAGGACTTTACCCTTGAGCGCATCCCTCATGCCTTCCTCACCGAGAATCGTCTTGAAGCCGTGAGGCTTGCAGCTTAGCAGGACGATGTCTGCTTGTTGGACGCCCTTGAGATTCTCGTTTGTGAGGGTTTGCAGGGGGAAGTTGTAATGGCCGAGGGCTTTGCGGACGTTTTGTTCGGCGGGGGCCCATTGGTCGCAGGCGATGAAGTTGGAGAGGTTGGGGACGTCTTTTGGGGCAGACGAGGGGTCGATGGTGGCTTTAGTGCGGGCGGAGGCGAGGGAGGACATTACGCCACCCATGATTGCTATGCCCATTGTTCCTGGGGGTGATGGTTAGTCTTTGGTCTTTGGTCGTGAGGTGGATGTGTTGAGGGTTCGTGATTGCAGAGTTATTCTTTGAAGAGCATAGGAGGCTCCTGCAGAATCTCAAGAGAAAACGAGAAGAGTATGGTGTTGTGAGACTGTCGTTACAACTTCTTGACACAGGCGTGTGGCCAGTCATTTATCTTATGAGTGTGATGCGGGGCGAAGAAAGATAAATATAGTGGGATGGGAACGTACCTGAACCGAGAACGGTCAATGTCAAAGGCTTGGATTCCTGAGTGTCCGCCATCTTGAATTCCCTTGTTTGATAGTGTTTCTTGGGTGGTGTTGAGTGAATACAAAAGGAAGTGCTGACTGGGGATTCAGCGCGAGATCGGCGACTTTTCCCCACGTTAAATGCACCTTAAGCTATGACCACCAAGCCGACGATATGCGCGTTGTAGTTGCTGCGGAAGTTCTCCACTCCAACAAACATCAGACGATAGTTTATCGGCCTACTGCTGATTTACGGCCAACACCGCCCCCCGGATCCCACTCACAAACCCGATAACTAAATTTGCCTTCGGTACTCGTCAGTCAAACAACCCGTCCACCATGGCCGATCCCTTCGAAGTCCGCCAACGCTTCACAACGCTTCTCTCACACCTGAGCGCATCCCACACATCGCTTCAAAAAGCTGCTCTGTACGCGCTGAAAAACCGCGAAATGGACGAAGACTTGCATTCCTGTATTCTCGAACAGCTGGAACGAAACAACATGAATATACGCGCAAACATCATGTTCTTCATCGAATGTCTCTGCGAATACGCGGTCAAAGAAAACAATGCGGGAGACAGTAGTGCGATGGGCTACGTTCGCATGCTACAGCGTGACATTCTCGCTGTCGTTGAGTGCGTCGTAGGCGAAGAAGGCGCAAACATCCGTGTTGTGCGCAAAGTCCTCAAGACGCTAGAGAACCTAAATATCCTCCTACGAGAAACGGTGCAGGAACTCGAAGCTGTGCTCAAGTCAAGAGAGGTGGCGCATCCGTTCATGGCTATGGATATTGGAGGCGAGGGTAAAGATAGCCCCGCGGCTGGGGCTGGCAAGAATGGCGGGCAGCGCATGGACAAGCGCCAGATTGAGCAGAGAATTGAGGAGGATAGGGAGCGGCATAAGAGACTGAGAGAAAGTATCTGGGCGGTCCCGGGAGATGGTTATGAAGAGTTTGAGAAGCTGTGGGAGGAGGCGAGTGATGTTAATGAGGATGATTATGTTACTGCGCGGGAGGACGCGGAGGAGAGGAGGAAAGTAATTGCATATGGGTGAGATCCAGACAGAGATGAGGAGGGTCCATTTGAAAGAGTGAGGCACATTGCTGGAAACGATACTGAAGAGTAAGTGCACAATTGGATGGGCGGCTGGAAGGCGTTTACGGGTCAGATACGGGACTTCATCACAGCATAGTACAGGCGTTATGGTGGAAAGATACCACGGGCTGTCTCATGACACCCAATTGTTATTGGAGTTTTGAGTATTCCAAATACATCTACGATCATTCCAGACATATCTATACACGCCCGTTGTGCAATGCTATGATACAGTGGCCGTCTCTTGTCCCCAACCATCATCTTGTCCTTGCAGATGTATTCTTCTACTCTAGGACAACAGTGGCGCCGAGTGCCTTGAGCGTCTCGACAATCTTCTCTGCCTCCTCCTTGGGGACACCCTCCTTCATCACCTTTGGCGCGCTCTCGACAAACTTCTTGCTGTCGACCAGACTGAGACCAAGCATGGCCTTGACTTCCTTGATCACCTTGGGTTTCGCGGCTGGGTCGAACTTCTCAAGCTTGAGGTTGAAAAGGGTCTTTTCTTGGGCAGCGGGGGCGGCTTCCTCCTCCTCGGCGGGGGCAGCAGCAGCGGCAGGTCCAGCACTTCCTGGGCCAGCAACGAAGCCTCCCATGGGCATGTCAGGGATATTTAGGCGAGTCTGTGGGTGGTGTCAGTGCGGTGATACAACAATTGTGATATTGAAGCGAGCAATTAGACAGGTAATTCCAGCTGTTTACAGTCTGGCCGTCTCTTTCATACAATAATTTTCCCCTCTTCAAACGCCTGTGTTAGTTTGAAGAAGAGCTATTGTGTTACACCACCCTTCCATTGCTATTCCCTGCCTCATTCGCCTCTTTTCCGTACCTTTAGTGTTGACACGAGGTCCGCAGTCTCCAGCAGAGTCAATTGGCTAATCTGGTCGACAATGGTCGCAATCTTGGGGTTTGTGGGCGCAGCCGCATCCGATTGCCATCTCCGCTGTATCCTCTGTTGTGTGGCTCCAATCGTCGGTCGTACATATGCGGTCTGCTTAGCGGTGCAGATACAGCGCCTGAGCGCGCGGGATGCCGGTGCTGCCATTGTGTGCTGCCGAGGAATGCAAGGATCGATGATAGGTGAACGTCGTACTGTAGTCGTCTCGCCATCATGAGATTTTGCGGAGCGGATTACGACGAATTGGGCTAGCGCCTTGGCGAGATCAGAGACCCGCAAAAAAGTTAGAGAACTTCCAGACACACGCGTGCTGCTTGCTTAACACCACCTTTTCTGTCCTATTGAAGCGTCAAAACTATGGGTAGGCGCCCCGACAGTCCCTACAGATATGGACAGAACGAAATCATGCAATGCCGGTAAAATGGTAAACATCACTGCGCTTGCCACGGAAGCGCTCAAGCCTGGTTTGACGGACGATATTCTCGTTCAACATGGTGGATTATTATTCACAGAGCTGTGTGCGCGCTGGATCCAGTCTGGTGCCGACACTGAAGCCAAAGTGGCGGCTTTTGGACGAATCCTAGCACTTGCGCCTCACCTTGCCGAGCACGTGGAACGTTTTTTGGACAATAATTCGAATTCGTCCATAGTTGGCCCTCAGGACGCAAAGTTTTCAGAAGCGCAGACGCTCACTTTGCGCGATTCAGATCTGGTCGAAGTGCTGCTTGGAACTTTTCGACTTCTCAGCTACGACTGTAAGACTTTCTCTCACTATGTAAGGCCACGTGCTGCGGAGAGTCTATTTCGCCACCAGGATCGAGTTGTACGGTACTTGGCCGTACGGGTATTTTGCTTGTATGTTCATGCAGCAGATTATGCGACACAAGAGAGGGTCAAGAGAGTAGTGGGACAAGGCGATATTGACGGACTCTGGGAAGGACGTCAAATCGATTATCGGTTCCTATCACTATGGGAAGAAAAGAGATGGAAAGATTTGCAGTTGAATATGAATCGCCAAGACGACAGCGCAACGGAACATTCTGTATATACAGATCAAGAACTATCGCCTTACACGGTCAACGTCAGTGGTGTCCTCTTACCCCGGTTAGATGGATATCCTTCCCAGGAAATGCCTTCTGAGCTTGTATCCACAGTCACCACAGAAGCCAATCTAAAGGATATCGCCCATGGTCTCCTTCATTCGAGTCCGGTTTTGCTCACTGGCCTTGCCGGATCTGGAAAGACACTCCTTACCCGTCACTTCGCCTGGCAGTTGAACAAGCTGGAAAAAATGGTCACCCTACATCTCAACGAGCAGAGCGATGCGAAGCTTTTGATCGGAATGTACACTACTGGTACAAAACCCGGGACTTTCAGCTGGCGGGCAGGTGTTCTGACCACAGCTGTTCGAGAGGGGAGGTGGATCTTTATTGAAGACTTGGATCGAGCACCAAACGAGGTCATTAGTACACTTTTACCGCTGATAGAGCGCGGCGAACTACTCATTCCTAGCCGAGGAGAAACCATACGAGCGGCGCGAGGATTCCGTATTATTGCGACGATGCGAAGTACTCTCAATACACGAGGTCAGGAGATTGTGCCCCCCCAAAACATGATAGGCCATCGATTTTGGAACTGCATCACAGTTCGAATGCCCCAATTGGATGAGTTCAGGCACATAATATACGAAAAGTACCCGATACTACAGAAGCATCTGCCCGGCATCATGCAGGTCTATGCTCGACTTCTCCACCTCTATTCAGACGCAAAATTCTCATCTGAGAACGGAACTTCACTTCGTGCCTTGACTCCAAGAGACCTTCTGAAGTGGTGCGATCGGATATCCATACTGCTCGCACAAGCCACGTTCAGCGACGCGCAGAAAGACGACATCTTCATGGAAGCCTTTGATTGCTTTGCAGGAAGCTTACGTAGCGAATTAGCTCGTCAGATGGTAATGGACTGTGTGGCCGAAGAGCTCCATATCGATCCACAACGACGCGATCATTTATTGAGAAACCGAGAGGTAAAACTGCATTTACCATCGAAGACAACATCTTCTGGTACTATTCAAATTGGTCGTGCCAGATTATCTAAGCATAAACCATCGAAAAAGACAGGCACAGGACGACCGTTCTCCACCAATGACTACACCTTGCGTTTACTGGAAAAGATTGCTGTAGCAGTTGATCGTCAAGAACCACTTCTTCTCGTTGGTGAGACCGGTACTGGAAAGACAACATGCATCCAGTATCTGGCAGAGCAGCTTGGCCGAAAGCTTGTAGCATTCAACTTGTCTCAGCAAAGTGAAAGCGGAGACTTGCTCGGTGGTTTCAAACCGGTCAATGTACGCAGTCTCGTCATTCCACTCAAAGATGAATTCGATGAGATTTTCGATACCACTTTCTCGAGAAAGAAGAACTTGCGATTTCTGGAGATGCTGGGTAAGCGTGTAGCAAAGGGCGAATGGAATCGCGTTTGTGCACTTTGGCGCGAGGCGTTGAAGATGGTTGATGCAGCCCGAAAAAAGCACGAGTCGCACACTTCATCCCCAGATCCTGAGGGTGGTCAGCCTAAGAAGAAGCGGAAGACTGACACTTTGCCGGCGAACTTCCCCACTGCAAGATGGGAAAAGTTCGCAGCTGATCTACAAAATCTCGAGGCTCAGCTTGCTAGTGGCTCGGAAGCATTCGCGTTCTCTTTCCTGGAGGGTAACATCGTAAAAGCAGTGAGAAATGGCGACTGGGTACTCCTCGATGAAATAAACTTGGCATCTTCAGACACTCTAGAGGCGCTGACGGATCTCTTGGGCGGCGGCCCGGATGGTAATCCGTCCATTCTTTTGACCGAGACCGGCAATGTTGAGCGAGTAGTCGCGCATCCGAACTTCAGGGTGTTCGCGGCTATGAACCCGGCAACAGACGTAGGAAAGAAAGATCTACCTCCAGGTATCCGGTCGCGATTCACCGAGCTATATGTTGAGAGTCCAGACAGTGACGAGAAGAGTTTACGCAACATTGTAGAGAAGTACCTAGGTGGCGATGG